GAGCTACCGAGTACCGTCCTGTCCTGAACCAATAACCGCATCACTTAGAACAGTGTCGAACTGTGAACGTCCATGCCAGAACCCATATCAATCCAGTGCAAAAGTACCGAACTTGACGTGGTTGTTTCGAACCGCAACAACCTGTACTGTTATCATACTAGTCCAAAGCCGAATATCGTACAACGAAGCAAATACCGTGCCTGTTTCGATCTAGCAGCCGTGACGAACCAATATAGAATGTCGTCCCGTGCAGCTGATCCACCATGCCAGTACAGTCAACTGGTTGAATCGGGTTTATCCCAAACCAGCATTTATACCAAAAGAAGACCACGTGGCCTGTCTCAGAGTAGATCCGGCCGCTGCGCCACACCGACCATATTGCCGCGACCCAAATTCGGTCTTGCTCACTCAATAACATCGGGGCCATACCGAGGGTAATAATCAGGTGGATCGGGAAGAATCAATGAGACTCGTACGGATCGACGGACAGTAGATAAATAAATGATTTCCAACAAAAATTCTATCAAAATTAAATTCCATCAAAAATTACTCAAATAATAAAAATCATTTCTTTTCTTTTCTTTTCTTTTATTATATCTAACCCTTCTCCTCATTTTTAATACCTTTATTAGAATTGATGAAAATTGAGGACAATTTTATCAAGAGTAAACTCTGATGAAATTTAATTAATTGATAAATATTCATTCGTTTTCTTCCTTTTTATTATTTTTAATTCTTTTTTTCAATTTTAATTTTGTTGTTAGAATTAATAAAAATCGAGGGTCCCTTCCCTCGCCAATTGCTTAGTGCGGAAAAGAACGCGCCGATGCCTAATACCGTGTCTCGACACCACGGCCGGCCGCATCGGGAACAACTTCAGATCGAACGAAAAATGGTAGGCGTTGGGCGCAGTAGGGCGATTGTTCATCATGTTAATTTCAAGGGTCAGTTTTCATGATTGATGGAGGGAATTTTAGGGACCCATCTCCGACCCCTAATTTTTTTCGACAGTTCTGATGAAAGTGTCGGTTAATCCTCCCCTAGGCTTTTAACCCAAGGCCCAATCCTTTGTATTTCGGGTGGCCGTCTGGTCTGCGACCGCCCGACAATAAGCCCGAACCTCTTCTCGACGCCCCCGTCGAGCCTACTCCGTCTCGATTAGATGAATCGTATAAGATTTAAAGTGACCACACGCGCGCGCCCTTTATATTTGCGCTTATTTGTATTGTGCTTAGGCTTTTGGGGGACCCTAGGACTGAGAGGGTGTTTCTTTCCTCTCCCATATCGCGGTCGTTTGGGCTTAGATATATGAATGTTTTTCAGCTTATTTCTTCGTTGAAGCGACGGTGCCGCAGACACACCACCTCGTCTAATGTGGACTATGCGCTTAGGTCTCCACAGTACAAAAAACCACTTTTTTTCTTAGCACCAAGCCCTTCACTTTTCTGGTCTCTACTCTCTTTCTCTTCCTCGAACTCTCACCTATCTCAAACTGTCTTGTCGGCTTTTCATCTGTTTCTTTGGCTTTCCCCTTCCCCTTAGGGTCTGACAGCGTCGACGGGTTTTCCCTTGGCCTAAACAACTCCAGTCTAACCCCTTCCACATGATCCTTCCATTTAGACCCATCTAATTCAACAATTATATACGCTCCCCAACCGAGCACATCGACTACGCGGTATGGTCCTATCCATTTGTTTGCCAGCTTCCCTGGCCATGTCCTCTCTAATGCTGCATCGTAGAGAAGTACCATATCGCCCACACTTATTTTCTCCTTTCTAATCCTGACATCCTTATCCCATCTTTCCTTGCCTTTCTCTCTTTCCACCGCCAGTCGATCCGCTGTCGCCATGAGGTTATCCTCTAATCCTTAGGCTATCTGTCTCGTTCGAGCTGCCAGCAACTCCTCTCGCGTCATACTGTCCGCCCAGTTAACCGTAGTCCAGCTATCAATATGGAACTCTATGGGTAGAGGGCAGTGCCTTCCAAACCATAGAGTGTAAAGTGGATACCCCATGCTAGCTCGGACTGTGACATTGTCTGCCCATATCGCGTATCAAAAATATTTCGGCCAGTCACTATCTTTCCCTCTGCACCGCTTGGACAATGAAGCTATCAAGGACTGGTCGCCTCGCTCTACTGGTGAATTGGACTGAGGGTGATAGGCTGTAGCTATCGATACTCTGACTCCTGCTTTCTTAAACACACTTTGGACCTCATCGGCTAGGAACTCCGCTCCTCTATCCATTACGATCCTACTAACACACCCATACCTAGATAGATACTCCAGAACAAAGTTCTTTACTTCACTGGCTGCCTTTGTTTTGATAGGTTTCCCGTCGACAAATCCAGTGAAGTCATCCCTGATGTTCACGACATAATTCATGTTTCCTACCCCTTTCGGCATCTTCACCAGATCTATATGTACCTTCTCGCCTGGTCTAGTCGGATAGGATGGATGAAGTGGCTCCTTGTACCTTACAAGGGATCTGACACTCCTCACAGGTCATACAATACCTTTCTACGTCTTTGTACCGACCTTCCCACCAGTATAGTCTGCGCACCTTCTCATACGTTCCTTTCACTCCTCTATGTCCACCAGCCACGTCGTCGTGAAGTTCCGCTACTACCGCTTGCTTCTCCTCTGGATCGCAGACCACTCGCAGAGGCATCCCTGACCCTGTGGTTCTGCGGAATAAATGTCAAGATCTAAGGCAGTACTGAGCTGCCTATCTCCTAATCTCTAAATCCGAACTCTCCTCTCCTGACAGGTGCAATCCGATCATTCGATACTTACCTTCATAAAGATTGATTAAGAATCGATCGGTTCGTCTAGGCTCAGTCATGGTCAGTGTCGCCGCAACTATCGGCTCAATTGATATTCGTGAAAGTTCATCGGCTACCGCATTTTTCGTGCCCGAGACCCTTTCAACAGTATAGTCGTAGAATCGAATCCTGATCAACCATCGCGCAATAGTGGGGTCGGTCTGACTGAAGTCCTTCTGTAAAACTGACGCCACTGCCATAGGATCTACCCGTAGGACGAATCGTCTTCCGTATATGTAGTGCCTAAAGGCGTTCAAGCACCATAGGACAACTAACACCTCTTTTTTGAACTGACTGTAGTTGCGTTCAGCGGTGTACGACTCTCGAATCTGAGCGGCTTCTCCTTACCGTCAGTGTCCTTCTGAGAACGCAATCCTCTAACTGAACATGGCCCAACATCCATAGACACTATGAAGGGTCTGTTGGTTTCGTCCTCGAAAAATGGTACACCTAGGATTCGTTCCCCTTCTTAAAACTTTTCTTTGAGGGTTAACACCGCGAACTCCTAAGGAGAATCTCAGTAAAATCGTCCAGTTTTCCTAACGAGAATCCGTAAAAGTTCTGCCTTCTCCGCGTACCCACGTATGAAGATCCGTCAGTAGCCTACAACTCCTAGGAATTGGCGGACTTCGGTAGCGCTATGCAATGAAGTTGGTCAGTTCAAGAGTTTGTCTAGCTTCGCTGGATCCGCTCGTCGTCCTGTCGAATCACATATAAACCCCAAAATCTTAATTGACGAGACTGCCCACCGGCTCTTCGTCACACTGAAAGTTAGATTGTCATCATCTAGCTGCTCCAAGATCACGTAGATGCCTGTTAAGTGCTGCTCTAAGAATCTCCTGACGCCAGAAGCGACCTCCGTCTCGTCTTTCAGTACTGGCCCTTTTATCGGAAAGTCGTTCAGAAAGACTTCAACTTTATCAGGAATGAAGTCTTTCAGAACAGCTACCATAGCTCTATGAAAGACCGCAACCTCATTGGTCCAACCCATTGGCACAACCATCATCTGCACTAATCTGAGAGGCGTATGCATGGCAGTAAGGTGTCTATCTCTAGGATCTAGAGGTATCTCATCATAACCCAAAAAAATATCGTAGACGGAGTAGATCACTGCGCCCTTAAAAAAAACAGAGAAATTAAACCCCCGAACTCCTCATCTTCCGCCTTCGGATAGGAGTTTCCACCCACGAGGATGTGATTGCCTAAGTCTTCGACTTCCACTATGCGTCCTTCTTTCTCTGTGAGAGATGTCTCATACTTCTTCTCTCGGAATCGCAGCGCGCGACTCGCGAGGGTGGCTGACTTGCGTGTGCCAGCAACCGCCAAGGCCACTCTCTTCCTAGGATCACGAGGCTCGACTTTCTCTATCATAATCCGGCCACCATCTGGACGCTTAATTGAAAGCATCTGGCTTCCGTCCGTTCACTCTATCGTTACCTTATGAACGTGGCTCAACCACGTGCGTCCTAGTAGTATTTCTGAACTGCAATCCCTAACTGCGAAGATAAACATCAATACGTGCAATCCTTCGACCTCAATGCCCACTTTGTGGCAGACCCCGGAGATCTTCTGCTTTCTTCCATCGACTGTTTCTATCTCAAACAGGTAGGACCTGTCCATATTCAATCCTAATCGTTCAACGAGTCCCTCGTCTATGGTGACAGCTTCACTGTCATTGTCAATCACTCCTTAGGGAACTATCTCATCATTGAGAATGATCTCAACTGTCCCACTCCCTATAATGTAAGACTTATCCAGTGGTACTCCCTCCATTCCATCCAAATAGATTGTAGCCGCGCATTCGGCCTTTGCTCTTACTCCCGATACTGCGACTGTGGGTACCTCTGGCTTGAAATCCATCTGGACTTCATCACCCAGAGAAATACGGGTCTTACACGTGATTATTTGAAGCTCATCTCGTGCGGGTCTCAAAGCAGCCAAGTACTCGAGTATCGAGCACTGCATAGGTTGCCCAAGCACGCGCTTAAGAGGCTCCACTGTATCAATATCGTCTAAGGAGCTCTTCATGGTAAACTTTCGAGCTTCGCGCTTGCACGGCGAAAGTATAGCTTACTCTCCTTCAATCCTCTGTCCGTCCTTTTTTGCCATCACATAGTCCGTGTCGACCTTCTTTGACGATGAAGCCCTTGCAGACTTCGTCGTCGTGACTTGGATAGGCGTGGTTGGCATCTCATCCTCACAGGGCAGCGTCATCCTGACACTCTAACTCTTCGCCACGTCCTTCCCTTTCCTCGGCCGCACCCGCCTGGCCTCAACATTCTCCTTCATCGAAGGGAACATCGATACGTCACCTAAATCGTCTGCCCACTTGACGTACTTGCGTTCGTCAAGCACGACAAGCCCCTCGCCGATAACTCTCCTGAGGTCCGGACAATCCCTCTTGACATGATTTTCCCCCTTGCAGTAGATGCAGGAATTCCTAGGAGTGGGCGGTCGGTGCTCTACACCCCTAGGACCTAGTCCTGTCGCTGGTGTGACGTCTTGGTTGGAAGGCCCATAAGATTTGGGATAGTTTGGAGACTTCGGGTATCCGGACGAAGCAGGATAACCTCCTCGGTCATACTGCTCGCGCGAATCGTCTCTACGTCCTCCTCCTTGCTCTGCCCTCTCATAGCCGCTACGATATCCATCCCTACGGTCCCTGTCCGATTCCCATCGGCCACGTGAGTCATCCCTGTCCCTCCGGTTGAAATTGTCCGGGCTCCGATACCCTTCCACGTTCCTATCATATCTGGGACTGCGCGGGTACTGTTCCTGCCTCCCCCCTCGGCTAAAGGTGTCCATCCTGCGGTACCTGTCTCCTCGGCGATCCCTATCAATCTCCTCATCCCTACGCCGCCCGCCATCTTCATCTCTCTCTCTCACTCGATTGTCCGCGAGTGTGCGAGGGTTTCTATCCTCCATGCTCCACAAAGGGTCAGTATTCCTACGATCCCATCGCAGGGAGTATGGCGACCCTGGCTTGCCTCTGTAAGTCGTGGCTCCCATCTTGGTCTCAATATTGGTCATTTGCCTGACCAGTCCCTTCATCATTTTTCTCATCTCCCTCATCTCATCTATCACTGCCTCTCTGTCCCTGGGTCACTGTGGTCGGACTCCGTCCAACAAATACCGACGTTCTGCCCAAGGCTAGTCGTTAAAATCATGACACCTTTCCGCATCATACTCACGATAGAGAGAGAAGTCTCGATGTTGCATCCCTCTCCAGACTAGGTCCTTGTAATCGTCTGCCTCAGCCTTCATTGCCAACTTGAGAACCGTTGCAAAATCTATTTTGTCGTGATGCATCTCTCTCAGTACTCCCTTCTGCTTCCCTCTCGGTAGTCACCCGATGAAGATCGTGCACCGCTCGACCTCCGATAGCTTCCCTTTTGCAATCAGGGCATCAGATATCTTATGAAACCGTCTCCCAAACGCTTGGACACTCTCATCCTCGCCTTGGGTCATCTCTTCCAGATCTCGGATTGAGTACTTTACCTCTTCCAACTTAAAGAGTTCATAAAGGCTGGCTTTGTAGGTAGTCAACCGCTTGTCTTTCGGTCGTGCTTCTTTGATAACTTGGCTCAAACTCATATCCGAGTTGAATAAGAAATTGTCTATGATCTCGTCCCCCGATTGGCTGTGATATGCGTGCAATTCCCACTTCTCGAGATACTCGGTGATACCGTATTCCTTGAAAATGGGTGGTCTGGTGTCTGACGACTGGTGTGAGATAATGTATCTATCCCTCCTCTCGTAAAGAAGCATCTACACCTCACCTATCTGTGGGTCATAGATCCGTCTAGGTGGTATGTTCCTCTCCGGTGGTCTATCTCTATCTCTCCAGGCCTGTTCCCGCGCATACTGGTCTTTCCAGTCATCCCTGCCTCTATCAGCTCTGATATCTCTCCGCTTGTACGTTGGAGAGCGTCGAGCAGGCATGTCTCGCCGGATACTAGGAGGTTCGGTTCTACTCTCCATCCGTACGGCCGACACTGTCCTATCTGGCTCAACGACAGCTGGGCAACCCATCACCTCGGGTTCCCCATCGTTGGGTTGATCTACGCATCTCAGTGGTGCATTCTGCTGGATGCGCTCCTTGAGGTCTCGCAGAGTACGGTCCGGTGACGCTCGGTATACACTAGCTTGTTGTTCCATATTCGGATGTGGACCCATCGTGTCAGACTTCATATACTTTACTTCCTCTCTGAGCTCGCGTTTATACAGGGAACCTATCGTCCTTGCCACTCGAACGCGCAGTCGGGACCTAATGTCAGAACCGCCAACGAGGACCTAATGTCAGAACTGGCAGTCCGGACCTAATGTCAGAGCTGGCAGCCCTGACCTAATGTCAAAACTGGTTCTGCCAATCTCTCAGTACTTATACCTAATTCTCAACCGCTCTTAAAATAACCATCAGTCTTCCGCTCTCGTCTTGGATCTTGTGCTCGCCCTCAATACCTAGTATCCCCGTGTCAAGGAAAAGTCGGCCCTTCTGTCCCTCTATGTAGGCAGAACCTCTCCTAACCTCTAGCACTCCTGTCTCGGGGCACCTCACTTATAGTGCATAACTCCTCGGGAGTGCAGGCACACAAGCGGGAGTGCAGGCACGCAAGTGCTCTCGTAGATCGATCGATATCCTCCTCTCCAGGTCGCTCAACACTCACTTTACGACGCTGGCACCTGCTAGCGGGTACTCATCCCCGCTTGCCATCAAACTTCTGATGTCGTAAGGCAAGTTCTACTACGGTTCCGTAGTTTCTCCTTTGCGTAATTTGATAGGGAGTCAGAGGTTTAGGAAGCCCTTCAAAGATCGTTATCCGACCATTTCTCGTTCCGGCCGTCCTAGCAAAGTTTACTACCGCCTCCCATCCATTTCGTTCCAAACCTCTGTCAGGGATCGACAGCCTAGGCAAACCGTCGAAAATCGAGATGTCATCACAGATCTCGACGGTCTTCCCTAAATCTTCCAATCTCTTCTTCTCTTCGCTCAATTTTCAAGCAGCTATTCTCCAGCACCTCGTTTAAACACAGAACTGTGCCCGCTCCCTAGGTAAGTATATCCCACTATAGTGTACTCCTACGTCGCGAAAGTGTACGGTCATTACATAGAATTGATTCTTGTCCCAGCCGCTGTTTGCTACCTGGTACCTGACTACTTCATAGAGAAAGTTCTCTCGTCTGCTAATTGCGCTCAGACCTTGCAGTACTTTCTCATGTTCAGGATCACGGGCCCCGCTCCATCCCCCAAACTTTCGTCTCCTTCGCGCTAACTCTCCCTCAGGTAGGCTCATCTCTTGCACAACATTTGCAGGTCACCTAACATACTAAACCAGTTAAAGCAAGCGTCACTAACATCCTATCTGCGGATGCTCGCATGACCAGGTAGAAAGCTTCAAAGTCGTCGTTGTCTCCAAAGTTCTCTATGTCCTCTAAGGTCTTTATAAACTCCTTCCAGTATCGATTATGCCTCGAGAGTGTCCTGAGAACAGCACCGTCAACTATTACCCTAGCTAACTCCCCTGCCTTCCTGACCTCCTCTTTTAGGAGTCTCTCAGTCTCTCTCAGTGTCTCGTGCCACGATCTAGATAAGGGTTCGCCCATCGAAAGGAGTCACACACAATATGTATCTAATGAGGTGGCCGTTTTCAACTCCTACCCAGAGCCCGGTCACTTGCGCGTCCCTCACCGCTTGCCGAGTGCACTCTGCTTCCTTGATCACACCGAGTCTCGCTAGGTGTTCTACTTGCATCACTACACAGACCACCGATCCATCTAGCTTCCCCACGACATGCAAGAAAAACTTATCATTGGAATACTGAGTCGTACTGATCATTATCTTCTATCATTGTTCTGATGCTCCTTCCTCACTTTCCTTTGCTTTCGAGTCTGTAGCCTCTGCCGACTCCTTCGGCCGTTCTGTCGATTTTGACAATTGCCCCGATTCCTTGCCGTTACGATCTCTCGTCTTCACACTTTCCAGAAAATCTAATCGCCACCTTCGGAAGAACTCTTTGTCTTCTCTAAAGAGACTCTCTAGTTCCCTCGTTACTGCTTCTATCCTACGCAGTTCCCTTTCACTCTTGCTGGGTCCGCAATCCCGAATCTTATTGCCCAGCTCCTTGACTCGCTTTAAAACTGGTTCTATAACATGCTCCTTAACTCTCTTCACCCTCTCATCTACATTTTCCGTTCTCAAATGTCCATCTATGCGTTCAACCCCCTTTAAGCAGACAACCACTTCATATACCATCCACCTCTGTGTCGTTATTTCCCTCATTGCTCCTAATCTCTGCTCTCGTATGACATCCTCCGCAAGTTTCCTGTACTCACTGTCCGACAACTCCTCATTTATACTCACCCTTATGAGAATCTGTAACGTTCCGTTGTCGCGTGCTAAGCGTCTAGAAACCGCTTGCGCATACGGGAGTCATCGTAAAAAAAACTCATATCCCTCGCCAACAGGCTGACGGCTCGTCACTATTCCGTGAACGACCACTCGAGGATTTCTATCATCCACACTCCTCCATGAGTCAGAACCTCTGCGATCCCACTGGCGAGAGTACGAAGCTCGGGGTCTATGTCGGTACTGCGTTGTCTCGCGTTTTGTCATGTCAATGCAATCCAACCCATACCCTGCTCCTTGCCTCCGCTACTGTCTCGTCAAAGAACAACGCGACGCCTAAGTATCTGGCCGACCGTACCATCACCTCGTACGTTACCTTCGTCTGAAAGGTCACGCACGCGAGGACCCCTGCCCGGTGTTCGTCGATAAACTCTCTAACCCATCGCAAACATTCTCGCTCTGTCAGGTTTTATTTTTATGTGCGCTCTGAGTAAGACGATCACTGTAAGACCTTCGTTCACTAGTTGTTTGCTCACCTCAACCCCTGGTGTCGTCCTACCTGGCATACCTCCTACTGACAACTCTCGAAAAGATATTTGAGATCTTCCAAACCCGTATATTTATCCTCGACGCGCCTTCGACAGTAATCGATCAGATCGGTTGGTCTTAGACAATCGACCCAACATCTTGCGTTGATCAGTCCTCTTAGCGTCTCGTAATCGAGACGCCCCCACTTCGCACAGACAGAGAAGTAAGCCTCCTTAAACCGAGGCACTAAGTCCAAGCCGAGAGCGTAAAACATATCGTTTATCGCTCTGATCAATTTGTCGACGCCTCCATACGCTTTTTCTACTACGAACGCAGGCAGGGCCCACCTCCAGCCCTGCACTGGTTACAGGTCCGGCCTCGGGGGTCCAAATACGAGGCGCACTAGTGGCTAACTACTCCCCGCTAAGGTGCTCGCCTTCCTAGTCACAATACTCCTCGCTAGAGCTTCGTACCTCCACCAGGTCTGGCCAACGCCGACAAGTGTTAGCCCTATCTCCAGCTCTTGTGACCTGTCCAATACAAGATGTCCGATCGCCCCCACCTGCATAGCTCCGCTTGCCTTTCTAACCTCTAAGATCACTGTCCACAGTAACACTCCTTCCGCTATCCACGTTCCCGTATACCTAAGCGACACACTCTCACTCTTCTCCAGTCGCACAGGGAGAGGGATGTCGAACCCAAGAGCAGTCTCTATGGGTTTTGTCAATCTCTTCACCTTGTAGGAGTCAGAATCGTGTAGTAGCAGATATGCCCACCACGCGCTCGATTCACTCCTCATGATTCCATCTGCCTCACGAATCAGCCTGCGCAGTTCTCATTCACGCCATGCGAACTTTGACAGGTTCCTCCCTATAACCGGAGGAGTTGGAATATGGTCGAATACTTCAATCTCCGCACTCCAGCTAACTGTCTTTCCCGCTGCCTCTAATCGGTCCTTTTCAGCTTGTACTAGCTTGGCCGCTCTCTTCCAACTGCTCCCGTATAGATAGCCTCATGTTTGTCTCCTAGGAAGATATACCCGCACGTCGTACTCGTCTAAGCTGATGATGCGGTAGGTGAGGACATACAATCGCTCGTGTTCTATGCCGCCGTTTTGAACATACTCATACTTAAGAAGCTCGCATGGCAATATACTCCTCTTCGTCCACTCGTTTAAGTTGTGTATTACTTCATCAATCTCCTCACTAGTTGGCCCTCGCTCGTCAGGCGAGCTACGATTCC